ACTTCTTCTCATCCCGTACGTAAAAAATAAAATGAGAGGTCAACGTTTTTCGACACTTGAAGAAGCCGTTGATGCGTTCAGAATCCATGTTTTGGAGTTATCTACATAGAGTGGCAAAAGTGCTTCGAAAATTGGTTCGAGCCCATGCAAAAGTGGGTAGATCTCAATGAGGGAATTTTGGAAGGCAATAAAGGGATTTTCAATAAATGATATTTGTTTCTGTTCCCAAATCTCAAAATATAAAAGGCAGCCTACGTATTTATAAAGGTAATTAATGTTTCCTAAGAACGAGATAAGTATTGGCCCGTAATGAACATGACTGTTCGCTATTAAAATTTAAATGAAATGTGCTGGAATTTTGGTGATGTTAGAATGCGCATCAGAGATAAGACTTAATGATACAACTGATTGCTTGCGGTTTCGAGAGTTGTATTGAAAAGGATGCATTTCATATTTGAAGACGCCATAATGCAACCTAGAACATTACCTGTAGGGGTTTTTATCGTAGAGGAACTTCAACTTGTCCTACCTTAATGATATAGAGGGCGAGAGCAAAGAAGACACCACTCTCTACCAATATTACAACCATAAGTACTCCGACAGTAAAGACAGTGGGACTGTGACCAAGTTGCTCGAACAACGACGTCCAGTTCACCCTGATACCTGAACAGCTCATTTCTTACGAAAACCACTTTATGTAGTGATGCGGGATTGACACCTGATCGCTCCGCAAAAAGAAGATTCCTAACTGCCATCTCGAAAGCTGAAGGAGGAAGGAGGGAAGATAGCTGGAAAAATAAACACTTTGAGGATTCTTGGGTCTGCCAAATCGTGGGGTAGTATTTTCATTGGAAGCTTTAGGCTGTGACCAAACCGACACTCTGTCAGAGCCACTCAAAATGATTTAACCTGTTTCGCCAGAGAAAGGAGCGACGCACTTATTGCTCACTACGTGGACACTGCACGAAACTGCCTTCATTTTCGTATTGTACATCGTTCTGCCATGAAAATCACACTTACTATCAGTTTCAGATTAACGTGAAGTAATACGCAAAAACTTATTGTATGTCATTGCCCTAATCGATGTCATCAATACTAGCGCCTATTACTCAGGGCACCCTCTTCATTGTTTTGAAATTGTCCTTAGATCACCGTGTCGTTCGGACATATCGTCTATTAATAAATCCATTCAAATCCTCATAAAAAAATGACGGACTTCCGTCGCGTCTGAGAACACCGCAAACGAAGCTTGTGAAGAGGATGAAAAGAAGGCAAAGTTCAGTAAGGTGTCAGGAAGAGAGGTTAGTCAGAGGTTTTTCTAAGCTGAAGTGCGTGCACGATTTCCACTCCGTTTCATTGCACCATCCGCTTCGTCACAGAACTGCACATGCAGGAAAGCAATAACCAGTTGACTAGGAGTGGTCATTCTGTTCCATTTTTACGTTGAGTGATCGATTCCAAACCAGAGTTTTACCTCAAAAAAACTACGCCTTGTTTGACTACTGATACCGAGCGCATTAGAAAAATTTCAGACTAATTCCTCGGCATTTGCGTCGTACGAACGAATTTGTGATGGAAATGGAAGACGGACTATTTTAGTAGCCACTATTTTGAATAATCTGCACAGATGTTTCTGTAGCTACGTTTCGCAAGTAGACCAAATTGTAGAAAGTATTAAAAAGGAAATCTGAAGCTTCCAAAACTTGTTACAGGCTCCGCCGAACGACTCACACTCCATAGAATTTATGTCAAAAACTAATGATGAATCGAGCGCGACTTCTATATCTTTGAATGAAAAACTGATACGAACTTCTTTGCACTAAACTACTGTGCAAGATAACAGCCCGATCCACTAGGAAGTAGGAATGCTAAGATTTCAATTACTACTTTCAGCTGAAAACGTCACTGAGGGAGATTATGTTCCTGAGAGAAGGGGGACATTTCCATTCGCTTCGAAGGGTTGGCGTGGCCTATGTAATATAATCTATAATCACCATTCTCCATTCCGAGAGAGCATTAGACAGGTTCTCGCGAGGTTGTCATCTTAACTTCCACTTTTCGTTGTCCTTTGTCGCTCATCGACTGGGTTAGTTCTCATATTCCTGCTTGTTTTGATTGATCTAGTGCGGATCGACTGCTCAGCAAATCACCTGTATCGCAGTCGTCCCGTTAATCATCGATTTCCTTGAGCGAGCGCCAGTGACATCTCCATTCGTCCCCATCGCGAGCCAGAGTGTCCAGTGAATCGTACTCGTTCGGGTGACACGGGGCAAAACACTCTCTAAGTTTGGAGCTTTCCTGAAGAAGTCTGAACGCCGAGCCGGCGGCCGTTCTGGCGTTCGTTCGCGTCCCGAGGGACCCAGTCCATAAGCGTCCTGTTCCAACGGTCAACACTATATTGAATGACGTGCCCGGCCCACCTGACTTTTGATTTCTTGGCGCATGCATGATCTTCGTTTGCTGACGGAGCTTGGAACTCCACATTCCTTCCTGTACTGCATGTATAGGGNCATTCGGAGCATCCTCCTTTATACAGCGCGTTGGATGGCGCTCACTGCATGCTCATCCTGCTTTCGTAAAGTCCAAGTCTCTGAGACTATGCAAAAGCAGGAAGATTTGCAGTGTCGACATGGTGAGCGCGGAGCCGGACGTTCTTTGTCTTCTTCACTACTCCCTTAACATTCTTAAATGCTTCCCACGCCGCGCGTTTCCTTCTACTCAGTTCCGAGACTAGGTCGCTCAGCATATTGACTTTTAGGCCCAGATACACGCAGCTAGAGCATTCAGAGATGTTCGTTCCATTCACCGCGGAACGAGTACCAGGAACCAATCCGTTCCGCATAAATTTTCTTCGTTAGGTTGAGTCGTAATCCGATCTTTCCACAAGCGTTGACGAATTCGGCCAGCACTTGTTCCGCCTGCTCGATATTTGGTGTAATAAGCACGTTGTCATCTGCAAAGCGAAGATGATGTAAGTAGGAGCCATCGACCTTCATTCCTATGCCTTCCCATTCCATATGACGCGATGACATGATATTCTCGAGAGCGACAATGAAACGTTTGGGCGAGATGGTATCACCCTGTCGAACCCTTCTCTTCACGTCAATGATGACTTCTCTACAGAACGGCAAGATTCTGGTCATGAAACTGTTGTAGAGCTCACGAAGCATCTCTTATATTGGGTAGGAAAACCCTAGTTGCCCAGGGCTTCGATCACGGCTTCTGTCTCGACGGTGTTGGAGGCATTTCCCAAATCGACGAGAGTAAGACATAACGGCATTTTGTACGCTCGCGATACTTCGATGAGTCCTGTAACAGTGTGCCGCCAACGAGATGGACAGTCTTCTTCACGTAAGCTCTGAACGGAAGGAATGTTTGACCTCGTGTCCCTGAAGCGAGGACGACTCACTGGACCACTCTGGCTCGTGATAGGGACGAATGGAGACATTACTGGCGCCTGCTTGAGGAAATCGATGATCAACGGGACGACAGGTGATACAGGTGAATAATGAGATGAATAATGACCGTCTACCAGGTGAGGCATTTATAATATAAAACATCTTGAGAGCACTACCCAGCAAGACATTACCGTGGTGTCCCAGAAGCTGCTCTTGTTTTTACAGAATCGAACAAGATTTATGTACTCTGAGGTAGAAATCTAAAAGAGTGTGCTAGTGATCCAGACGAAAATGTAACAGCTTAGAAAACAACATACGACAGAACGGCTGCAATACACTAATAGTGAACACTACGCGCAACCACACCTTCACCAACATGTCGACAAATCCTCTCTACAGTCGCTATCATGCTTTTTTCAACTCGCTCATGGGAATACGTAATCAGGAGATAAACGAAAAAGAAAAACGAAGCGGCTCGAAGATCAAAAGTCATCAAAAGCACCCTAAAGCTGCATTCTCTTCGCCCATTTGAGTCATCGCTGATGTTTTTCCCGCTAGTTTATACTGTTTCTCTGAGCATACCTCCACAGAATTCTTATTGTACTGACAGTAGAAATGTTAATCTGCTTCTGTGTCTACGATTCCTCTTTAGAGAAGTCAATAGAAATTTGACAAAAACTGTGAGATTTTGATTGAGAACTCAAATTATGATTATGAACGTCTCCACGAGCACTTCTGTTTAGCTCTCAACTTACTCCGATCATCCAGTCCGACGACACTCGGAATGTAGACTGTTCGCGAATTGTCAAGTACGTTCCAGGCATCGTGCAAACCAAAAATAATATTGTGGAACATGAGGTAGCCATGCGAGTATGGGAATACCTTAACATACAAAGTGAAATGCTCGGAAATGCTCTTTTCATTTTGAAATCAGTGACACTGCATGGACAGGCTTAGACAATACCGTCACCTGCATAGATAACCTCGTCCTATACTCGTCTCCAGATGTATCGTGACATTTGAAATACCTTTGTCATTCGCACCCCTATACGCCATACCACAAAATATTACTGCACTGCAGTACGTGGTACCGTTCGTCAACGATTTCCTCTGTTCCGTCTCCATTCTTCCATACAGCAGGCTATTATATGCATTCCAAAAGACCCACCAATCAAAAACTCGAAGCCGTTCATTACTTGGAACTAAATAGTTCACCAGGAGTATCATCTTCAGCCTTCTTGTAGCGTTGGACTCGGGGGATAGATTTTGGATTAAAAAGCCCACAGCTTGAGCAATATAATAAATCGCATGAGGTGATTGGTTCACTTGACTCTCAATTAGCTGGCATACCCCAGTACTCCTCAATAAGGACTACTGATGAAGTTCCAGTCGAGCTTTTCCACACAAACTCAAAAAACTTCGCTCATCCTGAACGTACAGATTTCCAAGGCAAAATCTGGAGAAGAAGGGCCGCAAAGGCGAATTGAGGGCGGAGCTGAATCTTCTTAATGTTTTGTCTGTTTTTTCATTACTTCCTTAATGCGCTCGCATCTTCCTGCCCAGCGTGAAATCAGTCTGTTTGATCCTATCAAATTCTCAATCCACGTGAAGGTAGCTGAAGGATCGAGTGAATTTCTTTCTATTGAGTTCAAAAGTGATGAAGTAGTAGCAAGTAGTCTATTCCTCGATTAGCAATGTTTCCTTTGTAGGCAGCAACAGATCGGTTGTCGTGTGTTGCTGCGTACGTCTACGTCCTTTAAGTCTTTTCTCAGAAGGTGTGGAGTTTTCGCAGGCTGCACTGGAAACTGTGAGTGTAAGATAGGACTTTGCTGAGCTTCCCTTTTCGTCTAAACAGTGAGCTTGAATGATGAGATCCTGTCTGCAACATCGCAGTAGACTAACAAAATTAACGATTTCAATAACCAAATCCTTTTTCCGAGAGGCAAACACTGTTACAGAAAGACGATCACAAGCTTTTCTGATGTTCTGCTCTCCTGCAGAATAATGAGCCTGGCGGCAATGTGGACAGAACCACGTCACATCGTCGAGGAAACCATGCTCATTGACATGTCTGCTCTTAATCTGGCCCAGTGATATGGCTCTGAATAGTCTGTCAAAGATCGCTGGTGTTCAAAACTTGCAAGGCACAATACGATCGAGCGACACTTGCTCACGTCGTGCATGTTTCCACTTTTAATTAGCAACAAGATCTTCTAAATTTAAGTGCCTACAGGAATACCACACTATCGTTTGTAGNACATTATGTGAGTATTTGGGAAGTATCAAAGGCGCAGTCCACCATAAAAATGGTGACTGAGTTCTCCCCTAGGAATACCCAGTGGCCCCCAAGGGTAATAGGAATGAGCCACTCGCGCCTAAAAACTCAACGGTCAGGGCATAGTGCGAGCCCCGATACCGCCTTGCCCGGACTTCCTGCCCCTCGATCGGTGTTACATCAGACGAGATGTAGAAGCGGTACAAATTGCAAGTATTAGCGTAAGGACCCACCGTTCAGCCCGAAATCAGCTGATCGCCCAGTGATGAGGCGATATTCTACTGCTATTTTACTATTTTTTCTTATTCTTTTTGCTGTTACTGTTATCCTTCTAACTCCCTACCGTACATTGAAAAGGATTGAAAAGTTGAGTCACAACAGCTGTTAGTCGTCTTTTTGTAAACAAATGCTGTGATTTTGAATGTTTCCATTGTGACTATTTTGGTTTTTTTTGTTGGCAGCAATTTCCTCGGTACAATGTCTTTGCATTGTTCTTGCTAAATGCCAGGAACCCTCCTGGATATTGTAGAGAGGCATGCTGAGCCATTTTAAATTATTTTTGCTGCATTCTACGTCTTGGCAGCAATTTCCTCGGTACAATGTCTTTGCATTGTTCTTGCTAAATGCCAGGAACCCTCCTGGATATTGTAGAGAGGCATGCTGAGCCATTTTAAATTATTTTTGCTGCATTCTACGTCCCTTGCTCGTTGTAATCGCTGTTCGGATGTATTGTATGCAATTGCAAACATTGCGTCGCCTTCGTCTGGGTGTGTGTACATTCGGGCGATTCGAACTGCGCGCGGTAAATTGCGCGGCGAAATTCGAGGTCGTTTAAACGACTTGGAGGCTATTATTGGGGCCCAGATCCGAAGAAGAGCAGATGAATAGGATCAGCTGACCATACTAATCTACTCTTCATCAAGTTACTGCCCTAATAATAGGCGCCAGAGTCGTTTGAAACAGCATGAATTTCGCCATGTACGGCTATCTCTAAACCTCGGCATAGTGCAAACGTTGGTTTTCTTTGCTTGAACTCGAACGAGGTTGATAGAAAACAACTTTATTCCGGCTAACGTTTCGGCGCAGATCGCCTTCTTCAGAGCCTGGAACAATCGAAGCAATTCATGATTACCCGACCAATCAAATCAACTACCTTACAGGAATTCGAGACCTCGGAGGTCATCACGCAATTGTAAGTTCGGCCACTCACCGTCGATCAGTCCGATCCCCGCGAGCACCCAGAAGCCAGCAAAGGTGCAGTAAGCTCTCGAACTAGATGTGATTCAGACTCACTGGTGGAAGGCCA